ACCAACTTCAGACATTGCCATCTGAAGGATTTGAACCTGTATCTTATGATCAGACCTATGGAGTGCTAACCACTGCAATATAAATCATAGGTCTGCTATTCATATAGATATATAGTAATTTACTATAATATATATATAACTACTCACTTGTAATAACATAACAGTTTTGATTAATAAAATTCCAAGTTAGCTCATGATGCAAAATTTGTAAACAGCATAGAGAAACAAATAATCATCTTTTCCAATGTAGCACAACACAAACAAGACTTCAAAAAGAATACATCCAAGCTCTGATAGAGAAAAGTATAGTAAAAGCTGAAGGTAAACAGACAGAATTAATTCAAAACAAATAGAAAAAAACACAAATAATACAGAAATACAATGAAAATATCAAAGTAAGATATCAAGTGAAATAGAAGGGCATTATTAGTAGAGTTATAACACATGATATAATTCAAGTAGCAGAATCTATAATAAAAGATAAAACTAGAGCACTAGACATAATTAGAGAAGCAATACACAAATTCTGGCAAGTTAAGCGAGAAGTATAGAAACTTAGATATGACATTACAATCAACTATGAAAAAAGTCAAAATATAGGGAAAAAACTCAAGCACAAGAAAAGATAGATCAAATGTAATATAGTCAATTGACAGAATACATTACAAAGTCTAGACTTATCAACAATACAGGTTATAAAATTTTTTGAGTTAGATTCAGAGCCTGAATGAGCCCAAATAGATATGAGGAAACATCTTAAGGACAGGTTTGGAAATTCATATATAGAACTAACAAATATTATAACAAAGAATATCCTAAAAAATAGCTACTTTCTTTTTTTTTTTCAATCAATATTAGTGCTGGTGAAGTCTTAATATAATAGCATCTACTAAGATAGACTGCAGTAAGTTAGAGAGTTTCTATTAATAGAATACTGAATTATAGTGTTTTTTCTTTTTCATAAATGTATAGACTCACAATTAAAAAAATTATTATATCAAAATTTTTAATATAATAAAAATATTATATAAAAAAAAAAGCTTTTTTTTTTGCTTTAAAAAACTATAAATACAAAATTTAGTTTAGTATTTTGTAAAAATAAAAATTAAAAATTATAAAATTGCTTAAAAATAATTTTATTTTAGTATAATAACAATTTTAGTATATAAGAAAGCAAAATTGTTATAATATTTGATAATAAATATTTTTTTAAAATAATAGATTTAATTCTTTAATAATTTAAACTTAAACTTTATTGAAAAATTTTAAGCTATTATAAAAAAATATTAAGATTGCATAAAATATTTCAAAATTAAAACTATTTATAATAAAAAAACAGATAATTTATAAATAAGTTTTTAAATAAATTTATAAATTCAATAAAAGAAAAATATAAGATAATAATTAAAAAAAAGATAAAAAAATTAATTGTTAATTTTAAATTAATAAACTTTTAAGATTTTTGATATTATTTTAATATATTTTTAGTAATTTTTATCAACTATTTTCTGCAGATCCTTTTTTTTCTAAAAAAATTCCTTTTATAGTAATTTTGCAAAGAAAAGAAAAAGTGAATTGAGTGTTGTCTTCCCAAAGGGAACTTCACAACAGAACAGCCTAATAGAGGCTCAACTACAATGAAAATACCCTCACAAGAGATAACACCAACAAGTTATACAAAGAAATAACTTCAAAGCCCCCAAAGAAAACTACTCAAATTAAACACTAATCAAAGTAAACCAGTCTTTATTGGCTCCCAACTCTCACAACAGGTACATACATACAGATAGATAATAATATAACTAATATTCCGACAAGTAGTTCAACAGCAAGAAAGCAGACAAACATCTTAAACTGGAGTGAAGAAGTTGAAAAAGACTTGGGCAACTATGTGAGCAAAAACAATACTAATCAAAACATACTCATCCAGAATCAAAAAGAAGAGGAACATGCCTTTAACTCAAACATTAATATGAAAGAAGGAGAATACTAGGTAATACCAACAACTAAAGATGGGTCCCTAAAGGGGGATAGGAACATAAGTCAAATGTTTCTTACTAGGAAAATTAAAATTTTTAAATTAATAACTATAAAAAAACTATCCACAATTGTTCTTCATTATTTAAATCATTGATTTATAGCATTTCTTGACTTTTGTCCCTATTAAAGTAAAGAGCTATGAATTTTGTCCCT